TTATTATGCAAATGGCATTGTTTTCATATATCTTTATATCTAGATACCTTAGAGTGTCTGGTTTTTAACCCTTAGCAGAGGCATAGAAGGTAGCTCACACTACCATTTGTGTACGTGAAGAACATGTTTCTTTTGTCAATAGTTGATTTTGTTTTAATCTTGAGTCTCCTCTCCTGGTATCCAGGGGCAAATCAGTCAATATCCAGTCTGTGGTTCTAATTTAGTTCTATCTGCTAACGTAAACAGCCCTTTCAGAAAATAGCCCTTCTATCTAAGAAAAACAATGCTCAGGTTGCCCCGTCCTTCTTCCCCGAGCATCTGGCTGATGTCTGGCTAGATGAAGGCAGGAAGAGTTGGGGCTTATTCATCTGTATCACTGCAGCAAGAAGGCAGTTCTGAAGTTCTGTGTGTAGTATTCTCATTCCTGGACATTCTTGGACAATGTTCTCACCCACCTCGTGGCTGCTCTCTGTAGTGTGCTAGAGTTTACCCTGACAGCCCCTGAGAGCCAATTTGTTAAAATTTCAGGAATTTGTGAGTTGGTTGTGAAACAGTTAAACAAAGCCTATAGTAAAAATTAAATTATATACCTACGATGAAGTAGATTGTATTAAAAACAAAAACGAAGGTAATAAATACTCAAAACTCATCACTTCCTAATTTGTTCACTACATTTTTCTCTCATTTATGTTCTTGAAGTTATTTACATCTCTTGTGTCTGTGGGGTGGAAATGCCACATAATTGTGTAGTACTTCACATCTCTTCCCACGTCTGGGTTCAGTGACATCACATCGGGGCTTGAGATCACTCATGATGGTAGAATTATACCATGGAAATTGGCAACTCCTACAAATCAGGGCTTGATTTGTTGTCTTATTGATTGTGTAGGATTAAAGAAGTGATGGAGAAAATGTTAATGATGTAGGTTAAAAATGTGTTGTGTCAGTAGTCACTGTATTGTGAACATCACAAAAAAATGTGATGAAATATGATTACATGATTCAAAAACTGTTGTCTGATTCAGCAAAGATGTTGCTCAGGTCATTGATAAATGAGTGACATTCTGACACACTTCATTGTTTCACTTTAATCTCACTCAGGAGTCAGCAAACTTACTCTGTAAAGGGCCAGATAGTAACTATTTTAAATGTTAGGGGCACATACAATCTGTGCGGCACATTCTTCTTTGACTTTTTTTGTTTTGCTTATTATTGTTTTTTTCTTACACATCCTTTAAAAACGTAAAAATCATTCTTAATACAAAAACAGGCCAGGGCTGGATTTGGCCTGCTGGCCATGTTTGCTGACCCCTGGCTCTTACTCAGGAGTGTCAATGAAAATATCCACAAAATATCAAGGTCACAGTCACTAATTGTAACCATAGATTGGCTGTGGCTACAATAGTTCAGCAAAAATCGTCAAAAGCATCCTGTGAGAATCATTTGGCTGTGTGGAATTTACAACAATGAATATTGTATATTTAATTATTATTTATAAGTTGTGGACTACACAGCCTCTGTATCAGTAAAATGTATAATAAATTTATATATGCATGTCTGTCTATCCATCCATCTATCCATCCATCCAGCTAGACATCTATCCGTCTAGACATCTAGATCCAGGTCTAGATCTCCATCTCCATCCATCCCTGGGCATTCACCAGCACCACTGAGGCCCACTCTGCTCCTGCAGAGATTACCCATCCATGTTCTCTACCTTATAAACTGGTCTCCCTGGACTTGATGGCCCCACCTTGGCTGTCAATGCTACTGTAAACCCCTCCCTTTGCAGTGTGACTCCAATTCCCACTATATCCCAGGCTGGTTACTCCATTTTGTATGCTCAACAACAAAGCCATGCGCCTTCATTGCAGCAACCCCCCTGGACTAAGCCTGAACCTCCATTTAGAATTTAAGTAGAGAGTGGGAGCAAGAGACACCTTCAAGCCTTTGTGCTGCCCTCTCTTATTGTCTTAGTCAGCTCAGGGTGCTATAACAAATATATCATAGACTCACTTAAACAACAATTTGTTTCTCACAGTTCTGGAGGCTGGGAAGTCCAAGATCAAGGCACCAGCAGGTTGGGCTCTTGGTATTGATGTTCAGCTTCCTGGTTTACAAATAACCTTCTTCTTGTGTCCTCATGTGGCTGAGAGAGCAGACTCTGGTCTCTTCATCCCCTTGTTAGGGTGCTAATCCCATCATGGGGCTCCACTCTCAGTACCCCCCTCAATACTTCCTAATCACCTCCCAAAGGCCCTCCCCCCAAAATCATCACATTGAAGATTAGGCTTCAGCATAAGAATTTTGGGGGGACACATTCAGTCCATAGCACTTATCTAGTGAATCTTTTCCTCCCTTGCTTAAAATCCTATGGTCCTCCTCACTCGCCACAAAATGATGCCCAAATCCTGTAGTGTGATGTACAATATCCTCCACGACACATATCTCCAAGCCATAACAATTTTCCAATTGTGAGGGACTGTTCACTTCCCCCATGCTCATCATTCTTCATTGCCTGTATGTTGTCCTCTTCACCACCTTTCCCTGCTTGATAAGTGGCACACTCATCCTTCAAGTGAATATTGCTAAATTTCCATTGCTTATATTCTACACTTAAATTCAACATTTAATAATCAGAAGGTTTTGAGAAAATTTAGAATAAGCCTTAAGATATGGATCCTATGATATATTATTATAGGGTTTTATGACTTATAGTAACTAAACTAATAGAAATAACTTAGTGATCCTCACCCAGTGCCAGGAGGCATGATAAGCATGCTACATGTGCTATCTCATTTAATTCTCACAATACCCCATGATGTGATCCAACGATTGTCCACTATTTTACTGACAGGAAACTGAGGCACAGAGAAGTTCAGTGGCTTTCCCAGTGGATACAAGCCTCATATCCAAATCTATCTAACCCCAAGGCCAACGTTTCACTGGTTCATACTATGTGTAATTCACTACGCATGTGCATGGTGGATTGTATGTAGACATGTGGTGGCATTTTACTAATGTTTGAACTAATACAATGTCATCTGCCTCACATTCTATTTGTAGGGAGATCAGACTTGTGCAAGTGCTTTGCTAAAAAGACTATAAAGCACTGTGTTGATATTAGTTAATGCAAGATGAATAATTTCATTTGCTAAAAAAAGATGTTAGGGCAAAAGTCCTATTTATCTTCTGAGGAACCCATTGGTAAACATTTTTAATGGACTTTCTGATGTCTGGAATGACTTCTTAAAGTTGAGGGTAAAAAGTATGTGAGGGAGCGAGAAGTGCCTTCATGTATTATATGCACGTACAGAGAGAAGAGGAGAAAGGGAGAGAGAGCGTCTGCACACCACGCAGCAGGATGGTTCTTAGAAACACAGTGAAGAGAAGAAAGACAAGGGCCTTACCTTCCTGGATTTTTCTCCTAATGGCAGAGAAGGAAGCCACCCAGCAAGCAAATGGATACACCACGTGATGTGAGGTTACAATTGATCCCGTAAGATCGCCACCTTTGAGAAGTTTTTTGTAACAAACCAGCGACTTTAGGAGAATCTAGGTTGTGAAAAGAATTAAATTCTTAATTGAAGAAAGAAATCATCAAGGGAAAGTCATTTGGTAAATGAATAGATGTGGACTTGCTTCTATTTAGGAACTGCTTTCTGGGAGAAGACTGGAATGCACAGGTGTAAGATCAAAGAAGCCAGGCCAAGTATTGCCATTGGTTGAGAGAACAGGAATGCGTCTGACTTCCCTGGGGAGAGAGATTTGGATAAGGGTTTCAGGAAAGGCCGTATGGAGGGCATACTGGGCTGGGTGTGGGCTGTCTCTGCTCACACTACGTTACTCCCATGTTGGAGGGGCTGATCTATCTCTCTCTTCACACCCAGTGCACGCATCTTGGAAGAGACAGCCTGCCAGAGAGGAAACTGCAGGAGTAACCATATCTGCCAAGACCCGTGATGCCCTCTGTGATATGTAGTTAGAGTTTGGGAAGATGGTAACAGACTAGATATTGGGATGCATAAAAGATTTGCGTGTCATAGGAAAGAAGGTACATTCAGGTCACATTCCAGGTGATAGAGAAATTTAAAGGAAAGACAGTATGCTCAGGGAGATATGAGTTTGAATCTGAGCGATTTTGTACAGTTCTATGTTATAATGGAATAAAAAAGTAACTGTTGCTTTAGTTATATTTTTGTGGAATATACATTAGTGGCTTTTCATTAAAACTATGATATTGTTATTAACAGTGGAAACCACTGTAGCACTTTGGGGAATTAATGAGCCTCTCCATAAGGCTGATCTTAGAGCCCCCGTAGGAGTCAGAGAATGTAATGCCATCAGTCACCTAATGCCCGTGCCGTTCCATGTACTAACGAATTCACCTTCACTGTTCTAATGGAAACATAGGTCACCTTCCAACTGTGCATTTATTTTGATAATTGGCATATATTTTGATCTATTTGACATTACTGATTTAGATATAAATGGCTTTGCCTCATAGTGCTTTGTGAGATGGTGTAAGCACTGCCAAGGGGTAATTGCATGAATGGAAGTGTAACGTGCAAAGTGTAAACTTCTATTGTTTTAAACCAACGGGTCCTGACGAATTTAAAAAACAAAAATCAAGTGAACTAATGCCTAAATGAGCCTAGTGAAATAACTTCTTTCTCTTTATTTGTTTAATGTTTTGTTCTGTAAAGGATGTATAAACTAGGCACTTTGAAATAATAAACTATAAAAGTTTGTTCCCCTTTCCAAATAATTTGCACGGCTGTAATAGGTAAAGATATTGACAAACCGAGGAATGAGTTTCTTTGTGAAGAGAAACAGTGCCAGTTGCAGGTACATGAAATAAGGTCCGACAGCCATTAATGCATCTTCTTTGGCTTTCACAGCTGTTGGCGTTTTAGGTATTAATGAAATGCTACAACTTTGAGCTCGGGGTGTGGAAGGAGGATGTGCTGTAACTCCCTTCTCCTCTTGTGCTCTTTCAGCTCTTCGACTCCTGAAGGAGGGGGCAGACCCGCACACTCCCGTTTCCTCAGGAGGGTCCCTGCTCCATCTGGTAAGAACTGTAACAACCAGTGCAAGCCTAGGGTGATGCCAAGGAGATGGAGATTCAGTTATGGGCTCAAAACTCAGTAGCATAACGTGCATCTGACAGATGATGATCAGAACAATGATGTCTCTCAAATTAACAGGCTTGGATAATGATAAATTAATATTTATTAATTACTTGCATTATGGTTTGTAAATAATCTCTAGCAATTGGAGTTAGAATCTCTGACCCAAAGAAGCTGCTTTTGAAAATAAATAGTATTCAGCAAATAAGCAAGATAATATTGTATCAGTTACAGAGTCCCAGGCAATCATCCTTTCTTTTACTTCAGCAAGTGGTCTTTATTGCTCCAATGAACTTTTACTATACTCTGCTTGTGGCCTTGCTCATGTAAATGTGAATAAAACTTACCTACATTCTTTTGGAAATGAAACAGGGAATGATTAAGTAAATAAATAAATAACCACATAAATAAAGAAAATTATATTAGGTTCATGTGCAAGAAATTTTTGCTGGTTCAGTTAAGGGCAAAAATTAAGTAAAAGGGAAATCGATAATGATTCAATTTAGTGATCTTTAGGACTAATTTAGAGATTAGAACTTGATTTTGAAAAATGCCAAAATTAACATAACATGAAAACCTAACTTAGAATTGTCTACCAAGATTTAAAAAATGTTGTATTCCTTCATGTTACAGCGAATGGGTTATGTTAAAGGAGGCTGTGCTTCAGTCAGACGGAAGCTCCCTAACCTGGCACAGGTTCTCAGCCTTGACTGCACACTGGAATCATCTGGGAGCTATAAAATACCTATACTTGCCTCCCAACCCGGGCCCCACTCCAGAGGTTGTCAGAGATTCTGACGATTTTTCTGAGATGTAGCTTGAACATTGGTGGGTTACAAAACTCGCCAGGTGATTCTAATTTACAGCCAAGGCTGAGAACCACTGCGTCCAAGAGAAACGTGTGCCTACCAAAGGCTCAGGGTACCTGCGGTGCAGGCAGTCATAGTATGCACTCAGCAGAATAGAAAAACAACTCGGGATGTTGATAGGAGACCAGTAGAAGAATGTAAGCCATTTCTATCCAGCATTGACTGAGACGGAAAGAGAGATTTCTAGATTCCTTTTCCTTCTCTGGAGTGTTTTAGTTATGAAACCTCTCCATTTTATACTCGGATCATTGCATGATTTACATGATATTTTCAAGGGGCGGTGGCTTGGATCACTAGATCCTAGGTTTGATGGTGATAAGCAATCCTAGACTAGGGACCTGTGGCCAACAGCCTTCCATAGATAAAGATTCTCCTCTTAGCCAATATCACTGATCTCTTTACCAGGAGGCCCAGTAATCAGCACGGTTACAAGGAGACCAGCTCAGGGCCCCTGCCCTCTTTCTTGGGAGTGTCTACTCTCCCCTCTATGTCCCCAGTCAGAAGATGACAGGAGAGAAATAGATCACATGCCAGCTGCTTTCACTTCTGTCACAGAGGCTCATTTTTCCCATCTGTGAAATAGGGATATTATCTGGACTATTGTATTCAAAATACATACTGTGATGAACCGTATATCAAAGTACGTACTGTGATGATCAAATAGATATGAAAATTACTTTTAAGCCATAAAGTGCCTTTGATAGGTTAGATATTGATCAATATGTTGTATTATTTATGATGCAATTTCATATAAATTATATGATTTATATAAAATAACTTTTTGTTTTTTTTAATATTCACAATAGCTCTGTGTGGTTGGGAATATGCCTATGTTGTTTTACTAGTTAAGAAACTGGGAAATAGAAGGATTAAGTACTTCGGCCAGTTTGACATAGTAGTAGATAGTACTGGAGATTGAATTCTGCCTCTGACTATAATTGTACCATATTTTTTCCACGGTGTGTTCCCGGTGATTCCTACAAGGTGCTCATTTAAGTTTTCAGAGAACACATCATCATTCCAATTTGACTAGTGGAAGACATACTTTTCTGGTGAACAAATCATGTCAATTCGTTGTTGATATTATGAGGAATGTATTATTACTGTGTGTGACTGTTTGACAGAGAGAGATTGAGAAAGAGAGAGCAAGAGAGAAAGCCTGCCACTTCTTCATATTATATGTGCCATATATATCACCATTATATCTGCAATGCCTCGGGGAGTGCCCGGCACTTAGTAGATGCTCAGTAGATTAGTTGAGTATGTAAGTTAAGGCAGTAACTACTTAATTAATGAATATCTGTTGCTGTGAGACACATTAGGGATGCAAAGATGCAGAACACGTTCTGTGCCCTTATGGAGTTTAGTTTTCTGAAGGAGACAGAAAAATGAACCACCGATTAAAGCAGACATGGAAGAGGGATGAGAGGATGCTGGCGAAAGAGGAAAATAGCGAGACCACTCCCCACCTTTGGAGATCACTTCTGAAGCCTTTCCTGACCCTCCTGATCAGTTTTAATTACCCTTTTATCCAAGATCACATAACACATGATCCCTGCTTCTGCTATAGATGATGTCATGATGGATTATAATTAGTGGATTAGTGTATGTGCCTTTTCTCTGTGCTAGACTGAATTTTCACAAACTATGACTGCCTTAGATTCTTTATATTGTTAGCATGTGACGCATGGTAAATACTCAATACATCATAAATAAATGAATGAATGAATGGGCTATGAGGATAGAAGGATCTCTTTGGTTAATGAGAAGTTGGTTATTTTAGGCCCAGGTGACAGAGTATAAAGGTTCAGAAATGGTAGGGTCAGAATTAAAAAAGAAATGAGAAAATTAAAGTGATAAGGTAGATGGGAAACGCTTCATTAACTCTCCATCCAATGCAAATATACTGCCTTTTGATACTTTTAGCCATAGGTTGTGATACCAAGATGAAGGGGAAGATGAAACTGGAATACATACGAGAGAACGTGGTGACGGCTGAAGGAATGTGTGCTCAGTGCTGTCTCCTTTTTCTGGGTTTGCTGAGTAAATAAAAACAAATGAAAAATTGCAGCTTGCCAGAGAGACAAAATTACAGGGTTTCAAAATGCCTTAGGTACTGAAAAAGGCAATTTAGCCATCTAAAATGCCAAATCTGAGTAGGTCTGCTGTTTGCCCCACATTTTGAGCAGCCTGTGTTATGAAGCTGATGCTTTATCAGCACCGAAGCTCTAATTCTATATTCTCAGATTAACGTCTTTGAGAAAACGGTGGCATGTGTTTGTGTGGGGCATCGAGAATAAGCTGTGGAAATTGTTGAGATTTCCCGGAGTTTTGGTTATTTAACTCAATTATTATTCATTGAGTACCTGAATTTAGGTATAGATTTCTGTAGGACATTTCTCTTAGAAGTGCCATGAGAACTTTTATGTTGGTCATTGGTAATTCCCACTGTTTTACAGATAGATATTTGAGAAACAGATTTTAATATTTTTCATCACATAAAATCTTTAGTTTTATCATCTTTTTAATAAATTTTCAACAAATACATCTGAATTTGTTTACCTACCTTTAATTAAATAATTCATGTATCAAACATATGGCAGATGTCAGGTACTATTAGAGACAGAAGGGAAATAATGACAACAAATAATATCTGCACCCCAAGAATTTAGTCTCATGAGGGCAATAGAGAGGAAAACTCATTAACTCTTTGGAAGAAATTATGATATTTATGGAGTTGAAAACAGAATCACATATGTTTTGCCAAAATGCTGTCTGGGGTTTTATGTTATGACCTCTAATAAATGAACTATTGAGAAGGAGCTCCTGATGGTAACCAAACCCTCTTGAATGGAGTAGGAAATGCAAATTATTTTGATTCTATGCTATGACAGCAGCAGACCATAGCGAAACTTAAACGAACTAAAGTAGAAATAGAAAATACTTTTTCTTTTACCTGGTGAATTCTAGTTTTAACATAAAGACAATCATTTAAGCAGTGGAATTCCACGTAGCTGTTAAAGATATTGAGCTACAACAGCTATGCAAATGTGTCCAAGACATATTGGTAAATATCAAAAGCAGGCTAGAGAATAGTACGTAGAGTACTATCAGATAGGGATGGATAGAGAGAGACAAAGAGAGAGAGCGAGAGAGGGAGAAGGAGAAAGGATCTTTTTCAACAGCAGAGAAAATCTTGAAAACTAGACATGAAATTTTTAACAGTGACTCAGGTTGGGGAAAGGGGACAAGCTCTTTTAATTTTTACTCTTTCCTTTTGCAAATTGCTTGAACATTTTAAATAATAAGCATGTATGTTTCATATAATAAAAGAAATTAATACAAAAAGAGTTAAGACTATGTTTTTATTGGAAGCTTAAATTCTCAATGTTTTAATCACTTTCTTACTCTTACAAGAAAATCTCGTGCTCTGAATTGGGCTACTCTTTGGGCTTCCCTCAAGTCTCTCTAAAGTCTCGGGAGCTGTAAGAAGCACAGATAATTAGTAATTTATATGGTAGTGGCAGTTCAATAGCTTCAAGTCTTTACAACTAAGCAGAAAAATATTACACTTTGAAAAGAGGCAGAATGTTAGGACTCTGGAGAAAATGTTTAAAGAACTATCTTATTTTTAAAACTGCCTAGGTGTTAAAGAACAAGAAGAGTCGATATGTGGAAGTTGCCCACACTTTGCCCTGCCCACCACACCACAGGGTCTGGGCATCGACCACATGACTCCACCTTCCTTTGCTTTCCCGGAGTAGAAAGGGCAGAGGCTACAGGGGTACATTCTGGTGAGAAAATTAGTCATAGCAGAAGAAAATATGACCTCTATAGGGGCTGTTTCTGGGAAGTTTCTTGGGGGCCTTGAAGTGGGGGGTGTCATACGGGATGGTGCAACAGGAAGTGGACAGGCGAGTGAAGGAACAATACGGAAGTGAATGGATGATGTCAGTGAGAGAGAGAGCTGGACCATTCTGATGTCTGAGGGTGAGAGACTGCAGGATGCTGCAAAGTGCTGGAAAGCAGGAAATTGAGTCGCCATGGACTGTAAACAATGACCCCTTTAACTT